AAATCCTGCTCATATAGCTGTATATTAAAGTTCTGACAGGTTGTAAAAGTGGCCGTCGGGCAGTTTTTCTTTTTGGTGTGGAGTAACAAATTACTTGTAGCTGCGCACTTGCTGAGTGAAATTCTTCCTGTTAAATTCCATTCTCTTTGTGTGGCTTGATTTCTTTTTAAATCTTTCACTAAGCTTTCACTGCATCTGTCTAAGTATATACTCCTTATAGGCTGTAGGGTTCAGAGTCAGTTTCATCAGCTCGTTTCTGAGCTCCAGGGAGCTGGGAGCCCCCCTGTGGCTTCTTCCTGGAGGAAAACCGATATCTGGGACAGAGTAGCCAGAATGCTGGGCTTTTACAGCACTTGCTGGAATTAGGAAGAGCATGTGTTTGCTCCGTGTCTATGGATATGTGGCCTAATTCTGTTAGATGTCTGGTCTGTTGCTTTCAACAAGCACAGAGACCCTCCCCTCTCTCTGAAAACATGTTCATGTAGTTCCCTCTACTCCTCCGGTCTGGTCTTGAATCATGGCTCTCTCAGTGTGTGTGGCTCCAAAACATTTCAGAGGAAACTAGTGCACAGCTTCCTTCTCCTGGCTAACAGTGCCAAACCAATTTATTATATCTTTTCTCTCGGTCTCACATCCTACCACCCTCCAAAGCGTGGCCCGCTTACGCTAACCCTAACACATACAGAGCATCGCCTCTCTCACCGGGGCTGTTCGGATTACCACGGTGCTTTAATTGACAGTCTCCGTGGAGACGAACAGGAGAAGTGGCAATGGTAACCTGGAAACACAAAAGAGCCTATTTGTGCTGTCTGACTTCTGACGGCAGACAGACATCATCAAAAACTGTGAGTGAGAGATAAAGAGAGAGAGAGGGAGAATTGTTATTATTTTTGAATAAAAACCAGCCTTTCGTTCTCTTTTCTAAAGCAGTGCACACACTGCGCTTAGTGCAGCCCCGTGTGCTAGCTGCACACACACACACTCACTGCCGGCACACACGTGTCACATCAGAGCTCTGAGCGCAGGAAAGAAAAGAGAGATAAAGAGGAACATGATTAGAAACTAATTGGTGTGAAAGAGATTTGTGATAGAAAGCAGAAGGGGGAAGAGGAAGCAGAGATGGTCTCTCTTTGAAGGCGACATTCTCTGAGAAGCTCTTTGATGTCGCCCCTCTGTCTGCGTCTGCTGCTGCACCTGAGCCAGGACGAGTGTTTAAAAATAAATAAATAAATAAAAACAGTATTTCCTTGCCACTTAAGGCTGCACAATTAATCGAAAAATAATTGCAGCAATTAACTAATTGGGAACAGTGTTCATTAAAACATTGTTTATATATATATATATTTTGGATTTAGTTTTTTTTCTCAGTTTTTTTATTTTAATTTTTTTACAATAGCCAAAATGTATGTTGTTTTGCTCTGAAATGGCTTAAAATTGTGATTTTTCATTTCCCACCTTGCAAGAGGACACTGCTGGTGTTTGATTGATGATGAAAGGATGAGAAAATAAATAGATAAAGAGAGTAGATACAAATATGTGAGGAAGCACCCACAGGACACTTTAGAAATGCGTCTGGGCAATGTAGCTTAAAAAAATATATATATATATTTTGGATTTAGTTTTTTTTCTCAGTTTTTTTATTTTAATTTTTTTACAATAGCCAAAATGTATGTTGTTTTGCTCTGAAATGGCTTAAAATTGTGATTTTTCATTTCCCATTATTACAACAAAATAGCCATTGTCCAAAACAGATTCAAAATGTACAGAAAATTCACTTACAAATATGCAAGGTTTTCAACTAAATGGAAGAATGGCAAATAACAATGTATTAAAACACAACAACAAAGTTCGGGGTCAGTACGATTTTTTTTTTTTACTGTTTTTGAAAAGTCTTTTATAATCACCAAGGCTGCTTTTACTATATTTTTATTCAAATAAATAAATAAATAGTAATGTTATGAAATACTGCAATATTTAAATTATTTGAATACATTTAAAAATGTAATTTATTCCCGTGGTGACAAAGTTGAATTTTCAGCAGCCATTACTCCAGTGTCACATGACCCTTCAGAAACCATTCTAACGTGCTGATTTGCTGCTCAAGAAACAATTATTATTATTAATGTTGCAAACAGTTGTGCTGCCTTTTTTTTATCAGTAACAATGTATTAAAACACAACAACAAAGTTCGGGGTCAGTACGATTTTTTTTTACTGTTTTTGAAAAGTCTTTTATAATCACCAAGGCTGCTTTTACTATATTTTTATTCAAATAAATAGTAATGTTATGAAATACTGCAATATTTAAATTATTTGAATACATTTAAAAATGTAATTTATTCCCGTGGTGACAAAGTTGAATTTTCAGCAGCCATTACTCCAGTGTCACATGACCCTTCAGAAACCATTCTAACGTGCTGATTTGCTGCTCAAGAAACAATTATTATTATTAATGTTGCAAACAGTTGTGCTGCCTTTTTTTATCTGTCTATAATTGGCCTCCTAGTAATGCTGATGTAATTGGGTCAGTACTGGCCTTTCCAAACTACGATGTGTAAACTGTTATTGGAATAAACAACACTAGGATGACATATAAATGATCTGACAAACAGTAAGAACGTTGGAGCGAGCAATATGTACATAAACTAGAACAAAGACTAGAACAAACCATATTTTCCATTAAAACTTCAGTGAAGTTTAGAATTAAAGAGAGAAGAATCTCAAACAAAGTAAAGAAATACAATGCAGAACATTGATACACTGGGTAGCTGAATGAGGTGTACTTGGACCCAAAGAGAGAAGAAACCTTCTTCAGTTACACTCAGAGACGCATAACATTACAATGGAGAAACTATGCAATCGAGATAAGACAGAGGTAGACTAAAACAAAGAAGAAAGTCGCATGTCTTAAGTCTTAAGGATATAATCAGAGAGGCAAGTGAGTTAAGCAGAGGGCTGAAACTCTGTCTCTGACTTGAATTCATCCAATGTATAAATAAGTCCGACACGGACTGCCTGGACAGTGTGCAGTGCCCCCTGTTGAACAAAGACAGCAGTGACATGTCAGTAAACCCTTAGAGAAGTGTCTCATTAAGTTGAAACGGAAGCACTTTGGTTCTGAATGACTGTCATGAGACATCTAATGGAATCTACATTAAATTGAAAAGGTTTATTAGAGACCTGCTCTAGAAACTTAAACACTGAGATTTGTTTTAAATGAAAGTGAAGGACAGCAGTCCTTCAAGAGAGTTAAAAAATAGAGAAAGAAAATGAATGAAACTAAACCAAGCAGAATCAGATGAGCTTCAGTGGCTGTCCTTTAAAAATCCTGATTTATTCAATTCTACTGAGGATTATGCTTTAAACGAATACAAAAAAATGCAGGTATCACCCATTATCACACAAACTTGTCAAATGCATCTCCTAATATTCATACTCCAGTTCTTAGCTCACCTCCGAAAGCACTTTCACATGACTCACATGAACGTTCCTCAATGGACTGAATTCTATGGATCGAAGTGTCAAGCTAGAGCATTAAAGTGCTGTTTAAAGTTGAAACAATACCAACTTTGAGCCACTGACCTTTCGAGGCACAGGCCTTACTTACTGATCGGTGAGATATGATAGTTTCCTTTTGGGGGATTATTGATATTTTAAAGCCAAAAGTCAATATATACAGTACTGGCCGGTCTTAGACGTCAGTCTACATTTTGTGAGAGTCACTTTAACATTTTCACATTAAAAGTCACCAGAACAGTGTAAAACTACTTTTAATTTAAAAATAGGCACAACTGCAGAATACAATTTTCTTGCTGTTTAACAAACATAGGCCCAAATGTAAGCCCTATTATGATCCATTACAGAAATCAGTCATGCTTATGCGCAACTCTCTTTAAAAAAAACAAAAATAAAATAATAATAAAAAAATATATATATATAATGCATTATTATTATTACTATTTAAATTCCTGATCCGTAGATTAAAATTTTTTAATTTATTTTTAATGTATTTATATTGTTTAACAATAGCTAGGCTAGCCAGAAATGAGAGTCTCAAGATTATTTTGCTATAATTTGTCATCTTAATATATATTGGCTTATTTCACTTATCTGGTCAATACTACAAAAGTGAAATCACATTTATTGGCTGATAGTACTATGACTGCCAACACATTATGCATCCCTAACTCTTGCCACATCTTGCCCATTTTAGCCCCTCACCCTTGCACTATACTTCATGGCCCACTGTCAACTACCACCCCACATCCTACCATAACCAAACACCACATTCACTACTGACTACTCATCATGCCACACTCCATATTATCATTTGTAAGTGTGCTTTTGTGTTGTGTTTTTTGTATTAAGTGCATGAAGAACACACTTCAGGCTGCTCTTCTGCTGTATTGACTCAGCGTGAGACCTGATTCAGGCACAAAACTCATCCCAGTGAACACTGTGAGCCCGCTGTGTCCGTGTACATCCTCACACACATTCCTCAAACAGCAGGAGGCAACAGCAGAGTGGCAACATATATTATAGCAAACTCATTTCTCATGTGTGTGTCTCATGAGTGCACAGAACCTGTTTGTAATCCAATCACATCTCTAATATCATCATGCATTTCGTTGTATCATTATGATGTTGATGCTCGCTCAGATAAATATATAAAAGCCTGAGTAAACATTATAGGAAGTGTGTAAATGCAGATCGGCTTGATTCAGAACAGAGAGTCACTACAAAGCAACGTCTTCAACATTGTGAAAGTCACAGCATTGAATTTCTATTGTGTGTGGGGTATTATAACAGCGATGGGCTGTTCACATGGTAACAGATTGACAACAGGACACACATACGCTCTCACTTGTGTCTCTCTTCTGTCGGTTTAAAACAAGCTCCTAGGAACGTGTGCAGGGACTCGTTTCATCCATCTTCAAAGGTGATTTTTTTTAAAGCTCACTCTCGTGAAAACTTTCAGTGAGTAACTGATAAACATCTCACCTGTGTTGACCTCCAGCAGTCTCTTCTTCTTCATCTGCCGCTCCTGCTTCTCTCGTTCCGCCTTCTCTTTGGCTATCCTCGCTTTCCTCTGCTTCTCCTCCGCCTCTCTTCTCCTTGCATTCTCCTTAACTGCTTGCTAGAGAGAAAAAAGACAGAGATAGAGCAGACTATTGAGGAAACAAGGAAAGTCTGAAGTGAATAGATGTTCAGTGTTATGTGGAGACATTTCAGTTCATTTCAGTTCTTTAGATTTAGTGTTGTGTTAAACGTTTAAAGCTCAACAACCTGACAGAAGCCTGACTTCAAAAACTAAAAAAGTTAAAAGTTAAAAGTTATAAAGTGAATAAAACGTGTATATAAATTATAAGTGAATTTGATTAACAAACATTAGTACAACATACTCTAACATTTAATCATTTTGGGACACTAAAAATATACTAATACTTTTATTTAGCACAGATTCATTAAATTGACCAAAAGTGACAGTAAATTCATGTATAATGTTTAAAAAGATTTCCATTTCAAATAAATGCTGCTCTTTAGAACTTTCGAATCTTTTTATATACTGTATATATATATATATATATATATATATATATATTTATTTATTTATTTTTCTCTGAATTTTAGCCCAGGAGTCTAGTTATAGACACTGTCCATCAAATTGAATTTCAGTTGCAATCAAAATCATTAACTCCCCTGATATACAAGACATTCTGCTGATGCGAATAGAACTGAGGCACCAAACTAGAGCCTCAGTAAACAGTCCATAAATAGACATTTGAATGATTTTGAGAACTAAGTTGAATCTCTACAAATGTCCATGTGCAAAACTATTCAACCCCAAAAGTCAAAAAGTATTTGGCGGAGCATTCTTTACCCTTCATACCCTTCAATAAATGCTTCTGGCAAATGTTCAGAGGATCCTGACACCTTTCTATTGGACTCTTAGCCTACTGCTCATGTGAAAAGCTTCCAGCTCACTGACATTTTGTGCTTTCTGTGCTGCCACCCCTTGTTTCAAATCCCATCAAAGATTTTCAATGGGATTTGAATCCGGAGGCTGAGATGGCCACTCAAGGACATTCCAGGACCCATCCCTGAAACAAGTGCTGGTAGATGCTCCGTATCATTGTCTCACTGGAAAGTCCAATGATAACCAAGCTTCAATTTACACACTGAAGGCATCACACTCTTCGCCAAAATGGCTTGAAATTTCAAAGAGTCCATGGTGCCAGTCACATGGACAAGACAGCCATTTCCTGCAGCAACAAAACACCTGACTGATCCATCCCAAATGACTTGATGCTTAAGCTAGCTCAAACCATATAAAACAGCCTTGAACTTATAAACAGGAAATGTGTCATTTTGTTATTGTTCTACCTTTTGTAAAAGCTTTTTATTTGTTACTCTACTGAAAGTCATCATAGAGCTCCCGAAGGCTTACTTGTTTTAACTCACTATTTTGTAACCTTACATATTAGCAAGCGATATAAAAAAAACAACTAACTACTGAAAAATCACAACATGGCTATATTAAACTTATGCAATATGAATGCAACAATTGATAAGTTAACATTTGTAAACACTTACAATCTAATGAATAACTTTGATTGCAATCAAAATCATAATTAGTTACATAATATATTTGATTGCACAACAGTATATAAAATCCAATGTTGCATATTCAATAACATCATAAAAGTTCCCAAAAGTAGGAACATTATAAAAGTAAAGCAAGTTTTACAAGCAGGCGACTTACACAACCCAGCAAAGTTTCAGGCATTGACAGTTACATCAGTTATTTTTTCTCCACCAAAAAATTCAGGGAAAAGTTGCCCAGTATTAATAAGTTGAATTAATGAAATAGTAGCACTATATATTACCTAATCAATTAACGGAACAACATTAACATGGAGGAGAAAATGTGCTACATAGAGAAAATTTTGATTTAAAAAAAAAAAGAGCAACTGTGAAAATATAGTTCGAAGTAAGTAAGGAAGGAAAGAGGGAGGGAAGAAAGAAAGAAAGAAATATAGTCGAAGTAAGGAAGGAAAGAGGGAGGGAAGAAAGAAAGAAAGACAAACTGGAAGAAAATAGTGTTAAGTGGAGTAAATTTTGGCAGAAAGAGACCTCTCATTAACTAAGGCATTTTATTCCCAGGTTTTCACAATGTTCTGAGCACTTCAGATGTCTCCGAGAAAATCTGTGGGGCAAGAACAGAGCAAAATTTCCCTTCTTGCTAGCTTTCTTTGCTTTTTGACCATTAGTGGTTGAAGAGGGTTGTTAGAAATCTATAACCCCTCTCTTGGTTTGATGAGGGCTACTTGTCTAGGTGTAAGAAGAACACTCGGGCAATCAGACCAAGCTATCAGAAAGTAACATCATTAGAGCAGTCACCTTGTCCTAACACTTCATATGCCTCTTTCTTCAGCTCTCTTTCTCTCTGCAGCCTTAAAAGCCTTTTTCAGATAATGGATGTATTTCTAAGTGTGTGGAAAAGAGCCAGTGGCACAGCTTACACAAAGGTAAGATGTAAGAGGCAAAAGACGAACAGGTTTAATGAGAAAAGGCAGAAAGAAAGAGTGGGGAGAGGGAGTTCAACACAAATGGAGATATAAAGACGGCTGAGGAATAAACTGAATTCAAAATTCAATAATTTGAATATAGGTATGAGTACTGCATTTCTAGATTCTAAAGAAGTTAAATGCATTTACAGAAGTAATGCACATATCCTGGGCTCAGAACTTACTTTTCTCACACATATACAAAAGAATATATGAGAGGATCCCCAAATTCAGGTGTGAAAAACTTGTTGCATCTTTCCCAACAAGACTCATGGCTGTATTAGATCAAAAGGGTGTTTCTACTAAATACTGAGCAAAGGGTCTGAATACTTAGGACCATGTGTTATTTCAGTTTTTCTTTTTTAATAAATTTGCAAAAATGTCAACAATTCTGTGTTTTTCTGTCAATATGGGGTGCTGTGTGTACATTAATGAGGAAAAAAAATTAACTTAAATGATTTTAGCAAATGGCTGCAATATAACAAAGAGTGAAAAATGTAAGGGGGTCTGAATACTTTCCGTACCCACTGTATATATATATATGTGTGTGTGTGTGTGTATGTGTGTGTGCCAAAACATTACATTTCACCATCATATCTAATATTTGTCTTGTGGAAAACTTCTCTCCACACCTGCTCTAAGAGGGGATTGACAAAAAAAACACCTTTGTGAATGGCTAAAGTATACTTTGCTGTCTATTTTCTGCACAGCTCACAGATCTCGAACAGATCCATACTTGAAGCATGGCTATTGAATATGGCTATTGACGGTGGGTCAGAACAGAGTATAAGTCACATGATAACGAGGCTTATTCCCCATTGCGTGTGGCGGATTACGGCCACAGTCTGAGATCACAGTAAATCCTGACGAGGGGAAGAGGATAGAGAGATGGAAGGTGGGCTAAATCAGCTTTCCTTTCCACATCCCTGTGACTGTGCGCACACACAGATCGCTTTAAACACTTTCATTAGAATTAGGGGGAGAATGAAAAGCAGCAGTGCATGACCTCACGCTCGGTAGCACGCGGACATCAATATCAACACTAATACAAGAGGGGGATTCATAATGACCTTGCCCTACCTTCAACACTTTTAGACTTGTAATTCACTGTTTGCAACTTGTTAGTTATCACTGATGTTGGCTAAATGCAAATTCTACACATTTCAAAACACTTTGCTAGAAGGCATTGACTTTCTTATGCTACTCAAGTATCCAATTTAATATAGTGAAAGTCCTCACTGACAAAGCAAAGGAGGCAACTAAATTTACATTCAAGCTTGTTTCTGAGCTGCAACTTGCTCAGTAGGGCTTTCTACACAGAAAGTGATGTCAGCGGTAGGCACCAATAATGGGAAGCGGCGGTATTGCACAGATGTCGTTTTTAACACTTCAAAAGCACTACACAGAAGGAGGTCTTACCTAATGTGCTCTGTTTGTGACCGGTAGCCTCATCTGAACCGCATGTGACAGGTAAGTCAATGCAACCTCTCGCACAGCCAGCGGGTAAAGCATTGATAGCAGTTTAGAGTAAGAGATTGTCAACAGGCTCATCGATTAAGTAGACAGCACCTCGGTGTACGACAGCTCCGGCGTGAGTCAGCGTTCAGGAGCAGATGGGCCTACACTGAACACTGAGTTATTAGATGTTCAATAACAGCTCTGTGGAAAATGTGCAGAAGGCTGAGGATGTTCCATCATGCCTATTCAGCAGCATAATAGAAAATAATAACATAAGAGCTGGTCTAATCCCTGGTTGAACATCATGATAGAAGAATTACCGACAAGAACAGGCTCTTAGAGAAACGTCACAGAAGAAATGTATGTTTCCGCATTGAATGGCATTATTATGTGCTTTTACACACTTCATTATCATAACTACAGAAAAGGTCAGTTTGCTAAAAAAAAAAAGCATGAAAAACAAACGTTTTCTAAAGATTTATGATTACCTTTACTCACATATAGGTTGAATTGTAACACACACAAGTCACAAAACCTGTTTTTAATGAGTAGAGATAATAGTTTCAATTGTCTGAGAGGCCTTAAAGGATGCACTATATTGTGCTGATATTGATTCTTTTGGATACAGTACAGTGTGCCGCTAGAGATACAAGTAAATCTCACAATGCTGAATAAATACTGAAAAGGTGTAACTTCAGTCTGAATCAATAGCAATCACTGTTAACGCACACACACCACTGATGAATTTAATCAAATGTGAATCAAAGCCACTGCCCCAGTCACTCCCAGTACTGTTGATCTCACACAATGTATAAAGCTGCCACTGGCTGTGAGAGCATCAGAGATACAGAGGCATTGAATAGTGATTTAAATTTTGGTTTGTATTTCACATAGCTACTGTATGAAGTTACCAGTACATTCACTTTTTAGTAATTTACAGTATTCATACAGGTTTGGAACAGCATGAGGGTGAATAAATGAGAATTTTCATTGCGGAGTTGAACTTTTAAAGAGTTAACAGCAGGGCACTGACTTGTAAATTCTCATGAATACACACACACACACACACACACACACACACACACACACACACAAAGACACACAAAATAAA